TGTCGGAAAATGTCAGAGAAATTCATCTAGTTTGCTGGAAGCTTACTCCGTCTTGGAACCAGCAGTGTTGCCCCCTCCTGGCCAAGTTAAAGAATGCAGATTGAGGGCACTTTCAGATTTCTTCTCACTCCAGAAGCCTTCAGCATCCAGAGTGAGAAGAATGGCCTGCTGCTGAACTCCAACAAGACCAAGGAGCTCGTCATTGACTTCCATAGGTCTAAGCCACCACTCCTGCCCATTAACATCCGGGGCGTAGACATCGAGGTGGTGAAGACCTACAAGTTCCTGAGGTGCACCTGGATGACAAGCTTGACTGGTCTGTCAACACGGATGCACTCTACAGGAAGGGGCAGAGCAGGCTGTTCTTCCTGGGGAGACTCCGGTCCTTCGACGTGTGCAGGGAGATGCTGGTGATGTTTTACCAGTATGGCCAACATCCTCTTCTGTGCGGTAGTCTGCTGGGGTGGCAACATCTAGAGATGGGACTCAGGGCAGTTGGACAAGCTGGTGAAGAAGGCGGGTTCATTGGTGGGCAGGAGCCTGATCTCCCTGGGGACAGTGGTGGAGAGACGGATCAGGAGCAAGCTCCTAGCCATCAGGGGAAAGACCAGCCACCCCCTTTACCACGTCCTCACTAAGCAGTCCAGCAGTCGCTGTGGTGACCGGCTCCTAGCGCTATGCTCTAGGACAGAGCACCACAGGAGGTCCTTTCTTCCAGCAGCCATCAGACTGTTTAACAAAACCTGAGTCGAGGACCTGTGCACCTCAGCACTATATACATAATGCACTGCTAGCACTTCTTCATTTATTGCACTTTTTATACTGGTTTTAACTGATTTTACTCTATTTGGCTGGTCTGCAGAGGTGCACTTGTTGTTGTTGTTGTCTTTGTTAGTGTACTGTGTATGAGTCTGTGAGTGGTGCGACCCCTGAATTTCCCACTAGTTTTTAATTATCAAAAGATGAAGCCATTGGTGAATTCATTCAAAAATAACCCTTTTCAAACTGACCTTGGTTGCAAATCTAAAAGTTTTCTAACAGCCTCCAAATTAAGTCCTCTGGCAGCTCATCAAATTCAGTCTGCTCAAGTTTTGATTGATTTGATCAATATCATACCTTTTTTGTTTTTGTTGTTGCAATCAAACTAAAAGGCTTTTCATTAGAATATTAATCAAAATTGGCACCCCTTAAAGTTTTTTCTTTGGAATGATTTATGATGAATAAGCTTTTTGTGTTTAGGAGTAAGAAAGTTTCTGCAGAGCTTTTCTTTTGGTGACACAGATTTACAGCCCCATAGATCTAAACTTCAGTCTACCTTAAGCAGTATCATTAATCCATTCTTGATGGCTACATTAAAAACAGATTGTCATTTAATCTGAAATTGGGCAGACATAGTTGACGATTACATCAACCCATCACTCGGTTTTCTAGTCCCTTTTTCTTCTGTTCATATTTTAATCCTTTCCTGGTCTACAAAAGAAAGGAAGCAAAGACAAAAAGTGACAACTAAATCTTGAGTGTTTATGAAGTGTTTGTGAGCATCTGCAAAGTCTGTTTGTATTCATATTTGTCATCTAGCTTAACCCAAACAAGCACAGATAGGTGTACATTACATGGGAGAATTGCTTGTCTGAAGACATTTTGAGCTTGTAATGAAGCTGCCTTTTATTCAGAGAGAGAGAGAGGATACAGTAAAGACTACGCAGCCATGCATGAAGAGTGGGCTTGCGTTCCTTCTTTCCTCCCTTCATGCCTGAATCAGTGATACCAGATGCAGAGCTGACAGCTCAGTTAACATGCTAATCATGACATCAATGAGCGCTAAATTATCCACTGGAAGATTTGTCAGTCACTTAGGCATGATTGCTGCCGTGTGGAGTGTGCTTAATGGATGACTGTGCATTTTTAATCATTAACTTTTGCTTAAATGTTTGCAGATTGATCAGGCATCAACAATAAGAATCATCGCAGAGCATGCATGCATGGTGGCAATCGATGTCAGTATTTACAAAACATTGCCCTCAATCTTTTCATCATTTTATAGACCACAACTGCAGATAAAATTAATCCCAGATACAACTCCTTTTCCATTCTCAGAAAACAAGTACCAACATGGCTGCCCTTATCTCATCAGATGTACCACTATGTCTGGGTTGTCCATGATTAAAGAGATCCAGCAGGCCTCAACAGAGGAAGGAGAGTGACTCTACTGTGCTTTGTCACCCTTGTCATCCCTCACCCACACTTATCGGACATGGACTCCCTGCTAAAACAGACAACATTAAGTACAGAGCAGGAAACAAACCAGAACAGATAAAGCAGACTGCCAATGAACTCTTTTCACAACTCATGAATTTACATGGAGGAGTTGCTGATACAAAAACGACCATCTGCCAAATATGGCCTCCCTTAAGTTCATCAAATATTTAAAGCAAGGGTCTCACTGACCAACCAGTCTGTCACCATAACAATCTCTGAGGTAGATTTAGAGCTGTTCAGTTCAAATACTTTCTATATTCAGAAGCTTAAGTATCCACTGCACTGAAAGCCGATAATGTGCATCTCATCTTTTACAAGGTATTAGGGCGGTATCTGGATAATGAGCTGCTCAGTACAATGGAAAACAATTTTAGATTACCAGCAGCTAATGGCCATCTTTGAGCCTAATGTGATTTTCTCTTTCAATCAAACAACACTGGCTGATGGACAGTCTGTAATTTCTCTGTTCATGTTTAGAAACCTTCACCACAACTCAGAATTGCTTCACCGAGCTTTTTCTTTCCCAAATTAAAGTCTTGAGCCTGTATGCTTGTTTAGCAGAGCAGGGAGCTGAAAGAAAGAAAAGCTCTGCTGCTGTCGATATCATTAAAAGTTCATTAATTGCGTTTATTGTGCCTTCAGATGATGAATCCAAACATTATTAGGATGACAGCCCAGCATGTGTGTGTGCGTGCGTGCGTGCGTGCGTGCGTGCGTGCGTGCGTGCGTGCGTGCGTGTGTGTGTGTGCATGCATGTGTGTATGTGAATAAGTAGACATATGGCTGCCACTCTCCCACCCTACCAGACTCATAAATCACCAGTGACAACAGATAATGAATTCAGGCCTATTAGAGAAGATTGGTTTGTCCATCTTTGTATCAACTCTGTGAGTGGGAAATATAACTTATTTTTTCAAGGAAATTTATGTTTGACATGAACTACATGACTGACAAAGTATCATTAAGACAAGGACAGAACACACGTTTATTGAATGTCATCTCCTGAAATTACTTTGCTTGTGGTTGTATGTTTTTCACTTCTAAAATATTTGGGATTTTTTGTTTCGAACAAGTTCATTTTATATCAGTTTTATTTAAATCCTTTTTTTAACCAGTATCGCCCCCTGCAGGCTGTTGGTTGTTACTTCCCTAATCTCCATAGTTGCATAATGGCAATTTTCCTCTCACTGTCTGGTTTTCCTCACTTTCTAAGAGTATGGTCTAAAATGATTGTGATGTTTGGGCTGTTGCATTCAAGGTTATTCATAAATCAAGTGATTCAGCTAATCATTAACATTATTGCTTGCTAGCTTTGCTGACTTGCAACTGACCGGGCAATCTATGGTTAAAATCTGCCTGGCATAGTAATATTAGCTACAGACTTATACCTTGTCTTGAATCACGTTACTATCAGACAGTTATAGCATTCAGATCATATAGTCCCCTTCAATACGGTTATGTTAGCCAGGGAGGGGTTAAGTGCTATTAGCTGTTATATTATGTTCATGGACGATTGGCAGCTGAGGTTAAACACACTTTAAATGTGTGATTCATGCAACAAGTCTGAGTGCTAAGGTTGCTACGAGCTGAAGTTTACATTTGTGGTTTAGCTTGTATATTATTTATCCTACTGAATGTCCTAGAATCATCTATCTCTATGTTGCCTTCATTACTGTCCCACCTCTGCACATCTGGGCACCACAGCCAGACAGATGGAGAGAAGATGAGGCCTGTCTTTAGTCTGGGGAGTAGACCAGGTGTTCAAAGCTTACTTCAGGAATATTTTGGTGTGATCGAGTCCCATAAGATGTTTGAAAAGGCCTTTGGCAGAGGTACAGAGGCTTCAGTGTCTGGTTGGTATGTCAATATGATTGCATGGCCGGGAAGCAATACCCAAAGGCAATTTAGCCCAGCAAAGTAGGCAAATGTGATCCTAAAAGTGGTCATACAGAGTTAAGGAAGTCACTACAATAAAGGGACATACATTAGTTAATGAAGCTCTCAAAGAGTTTACCTTCACTGTCAGATCACTTGAACAGAGGCTTTTCTTCAATGACTTTCCAAATGAGCAGTAACAGGAAGAAGTTTTGGCTGCTGGGCTCCACCAATCTGTCTTTATCCTCACACAGAAACTTCCATTACATTCAATGTCAATCTTTCAACCTGAGAATACAAGCTCTCTTTCTCATTTCGTCTTACACACACACACACACACACACACACACACACACACACACACACACACACACACACACACACACACATTTACATGCATATGCACACACAATTTCTCTTGAAATCTCTTCCTTAAATTATCCTGTATCCTGTAAAATTGATGGGAGGGCAGGAGGGGATTGTGGGTAATTTCATGTCACATTCCTGGCAGACTAATGCCTCTTTGGACAGATAATAGCCTACAGCTCACAGTGACAAAAAAGGCAAAGTCACAGCACGCCCATTCTTTGAAAACCCCACATTTCCCACAACAGTTCTATGTATTTTTTTAAAAATCAATGATCATATATTTTTTCAGGACTTCCGGTTAACCATGTGAGTGAGTGGACGCATCAGGAGAAGCTCCTGAGTTTGACTTAATATACATGTATAAAATGGACTAAACCAGAGCAAAAACTGCAATCCTCACTCAGTATTAACCTCAGGAAACAGAAAAGGGTAGGACATACAAGAAAAACTTTAAGCTCGCGACTTATTGTGAGACGCTTCTATTGTTTGGACACGCCATGGCTACCGGTCGCAATACCAGACAAAACCAGGTCTTCATTGTCAAATTTCATTATCGACAGGACAAAGAGCGTGCCCTGAAAGGCAGAAAAGGCCAGCGCACGTTCCGTGGGCACAACATTCTACTGTTTCCCGACGTACCATCCAGCGTTGCCAAAAAGCGTGCATCGTTTGCTGATGTGAAACACTCCTTCTGGAAAAGAAACGTGAAGATGGTCACACAGGACGACGGCAGCCTGCAGGTGGTCCACGAGGGAGTGAGATATGTTTTCGACTGTCCGAAGGAAGCGCAGAAATTTTATGATCGAAACTTCCCTGACGAGGCCATGGATGGGGATTAAACTGCATGGCACTGCTTCTCGCTTTGGATCGCAGCTTTACGCACAAAGCGCGCACAAGTGTAAGCCAACATAGACTTGTAGTGACTCTTTCTTCTCTCTGTCTTTCTCCCTCCTTCTATCCTTCTCTCTTTCTGTTTCTGTCCCTTCTTTCTTTTGTGCGCACGCACACAAACAGTCACTATGGACATTGATTGACTGTCTATTGACGAGCGAGAGTGCGTGCACAAACGCACGACCATGCGGATTCATGTTCATTCTATATCGTACTGCTGGACTCTACTCAGGCCCGTTATCAATTTTTAGTTGATATAGAACCACTCATTTGTGTTTTTTTTATGAATTATTATTTTTAATTTATTTTATTTTTATTTTATTTTATCTTTTTTTTAATTATTACACGCATTTTTTCCCTTTTCTTCTCTTTCTCGGCATAATATGCTGTCAAAATTAGCTAAATATGTGATGATCTTATATGAGCTTATATGAATGATCAGTAATAATGCCCCCTCATTTTTCCCCTTCCTTTGCACTCTTAATGTACGGGTCATTATTACACGCATTTCTTTTCTTCCTCTTCTTTTTTTTCTTTCCCCCATGCTGTTAAAATGAGTTTACCATGTGATGATCCAGCTTATATCAATTAGGAGCTATAATGCCCCCTTTTTTCCCCCTCATTTTCTGTTATTATTATCATTATTATTAATTTATCTATTTTTTTTCTTTCTCTCCGTTATCGTATCAAATATGATCGCCACAGGAACATTTTAGGTTTTTCATATCTGAGGAGCGACAACTTTATTTCTTCTGCTCTTTCTTCCTCCATCCCTTCTTGTTTGCATTTTTTTTTCGCTTTCTCTTTATTAATACTATATATTCTACATAGGTCATATAGTCCATGAGCCAGACCAGATGTCGGTACCACTTGGGTGGGCAAAACCTTACATATACTAAATTGTTTTTAGGGTCAATATAAGTAAATTAAAATATGATAGACTTTTCATAGGGGTAGCTTTTTATATTTTTTCTCATTTTGTTATTTTCCTCAATAGGCGAATTTTTTTTAACTCCAAAAGCAACACAGAAAGTCAAAAGCACATTAAAAGTCACACTCTTTTTGGGTCACACTGCTCTTTTCTATAAATGAATCAAACCTGTGTCTAATTAAATGAGTTGATGAAGTGGGAGTGGCACAATTTGATGGTGGAGCAGTTCTTTCAGGTATCATAGCACTTGAGCCAAGAACCAAAATTTCACATATCGGTACCACCTGGGTGGGCAAATTCTAGTTGTGATTTTTTTATTGCTATACATCCCTACAATAAGTTTTTATATGATAGACCTTGGTAACTGGTAGCTTTATTGTAGTTATCACTCATTGAAGTAATAGAGTGCAGCTTTCAAAAATGAAAAATCGCCTTCCTTCAAAATTAGCTTTCTTTCGTTTTAACCTCTCATTTAGGTGTGTTTGAACTATTGGCTAGCCATAGAGACTTGTATTAACCCCCTAAGTAGTATTTCAAGTAATTTATCTAATACAGGTGTATATATAAGCTTCAATTAGCCAATTGTAAGGTCTAAATCAAGGTCTAAATTAAGGATATTTTTTTACTTAGAAGTAAAGTAAAGTAAATGCAGACTAATAGCATTATAATAACACAACTTTAATATGACACTGACATATTTTAAATGTAGGCACTCAATATACAATCATCCTGGCTGGTGCAGGGCAAGAAGACATTAGCAACAATATAAGATCTACTGATGTATACACTCTATACAATCATCTGAGAAAAACTCAAATTCCTATTCAAAGTCCTATTCTTTCCATAAGGAACAGTGACAGCAAATATGACTGTCAAGTTTTGGCTTAGTACGTAATACTGTCACTGAGTCACAGTGGGTCTGTTAACATAGCTCCCTTAGGTCATCATTTATTAATCAACATCAGTAATCGACATCAGTATCTGTATCTTCTTCTACATCTGAATCTGCCGGTGTGCAAGGGGCTCTTCCTCACTGTATTGGTTGGCACAAGTTTGTAATTTGCACAGGTTTGTGCACTTCAGCCCATTGCTAAGACATGTGCAGTCTGGTGGTTTGCATGTCCTCACACACTTGCAGGATAGCAACTGCAAGACCGAAGAAGTAAAGTAAATGCAGACTAATAGCATTATCAGAACACAACTTTAATATGACACTGACATATTTTTAATGCAGGAACTCAATATACAATCATCCTGGCTGGTGCAGGGCAAGAAGACATTAGCAACAAAATAAGATCTACTGATGTATACACTCTATACAATCATCTGAGAAAAACTCCATTCCTCCACCAAGAACTTGATGAGACTGGCTTTATTGGCAGGGCTGCAGAGAAGTTTCCTCCACTGCTGAATATTGTGGCCAGAAACAATTTTTCTGAACTGGATCCCCATGTCTGCACCTCTGTTTAGTCTTTCTGAATTTTTGATTGACTTGTCCTTGTAAACGTCAAAGACAACGTCAATCCTTTCACTATCACCACCTTCATGCAGGACCTTGGCTAAAGTTGAGTCCAGCCAGCTTCCACCATGTCAGGATTGCCTATTAATGCAACCGATTCGTGCCAACTACCAGGCTGCTATCTGGAGACAGTCTCTTCATACCAAGCCATCTGTACCAAGCCCCAAGGACCATGGGTGGACCATAAATGACGAAGGGCAGCTGGAAATACAGTGGATGCGTGGTTCCCCAGCACCAGATGCAGTCTTGCAGTTGCTATCCTGCAAGTGTGTGAGGACATGCAAACCACCAGACTGCACCTGTCTCAGCAATGGGCTGAAGTGCACAAACCTGTGCAAATTACAAACTTGTGCCAACCAGTACAGTGAGGAAGAGCCCCTTGCACACCGGCAGATTCAGATGTAGAAGAAGATACAGATACTGATGTCGATTACTGATGTTGATTAATAAGTGATGACCAAAGGGAGCTATGTTAACAGACCCACTGTGACTCAGTGACAGTATTATGTACAAAGCCAAAACTTGACAGTCATATTTGCTGTCACTGTTCCTTATGGAAAGAATAGGACTTTGAATAGGAATCTGAGTTTTTCTCAGATGATTGTATAGAGTGTATACATCAGTAGATCGTATTTTGTTGCTAATGTCTTCTTGCCCTGCACCAGCCAGGATGATTGTATATTGAGTGCCTACATTTAAAATATGTCAGTGTCATATGAAAGTTGTGTTATTATAATGCTATTAGTCTGCATTTATTTTACTTCTACTTCTAAGTCAAAAAATATCCTTAATTTAGACCTTGATTTAGACCTTACAATTGGCTAATTGAAGCTTATATATACACACCTGTATTAGATAAATTACTTGAAATACTACTTAGGGGGTTAATACAAGTCTCTATGGCTAGCCAATAGTTCAAACACACCTAAATGAGGAACGAAAGAAAGCTAATTTTGAAGGAAGGCGATTTTTCGTTTTTGAACAGCTGCACTCTATTACTTTAATGAGGGATAACTACAATAAAGCTACCAGTTACCAAGGTCTATCATATAAAAACTTATTGTAGGGATGTATAGCAATAAAAAAATCGCAACTAGAATTTGCCCACCCAGGTGGTACCGATATGTGAAATTTTGGTTCTTGGCTCAAGGACTAATATTCTGGTCTTCCCGTTAGGATCGTTACCTGGAATGTCCGAGGTCTGGGGGGCCAGGTTAAGCGTGCAAAAGTATTTTCTCATCTTAAAAATCTTTCGATCGATGTTGCCTTTCTGCAGGAGACACACCTTCGCACTTCGTAAACCTTGGGTCGGACAAATATTCAACTCTAATTTTAATAGTAGGTCCAGAGGCACAGCCATTCTAATACACAAACGAATCAGATTTATTCCAGAACAAATAATATCTGATCCTGGAGGCCGATATGTCATAGTTTCAGGTGCACTTCATGAAACACCAGTTGTACTGTGTAATGTCTATGCGCCCAATTTTGACAATCCTAATTTTGTTTCGTCATTGATTTCTCGTTTGCCAAATTTAGACACTCACCACTTGATTCTCGGTGGTGATCACAATTGTGTGGTTAACCCGCGCTCCGACCGCTCGTACTCTAAATCCTTTACTCCAACTGCTATGGCTAGAACTCTTTTGGACCTTATGGCTCACTTAGGCTGTGTTGACCCTTGGCGCTTTTCTCATCCTACTGCTAAAGATTTTTCATATTTTTCCACCGTTCATCAGGTATATTCCCGGATAGATTTTTTTTTTTATCGATAAGGCTCTCCTCTCCTCTGTCAAATCATCAGAATATACAGCAATTGTAATCTCTGATCACGCTCCACATATATTAGATCTTAATCTTCTTCCACGCCCGCCTAGACATCAAGGAGGATGGAAACTAAACCCAGGATTACTGGCTAACCCAGAGTTTTGTGAATATGTGTCTAATGATATTACTTTTTTCTTAGATACTAATAGATCTGACCAGATATCCCCATCTCTTCTTTGGGAGACTTTCAAAGCTTTTATTCGTGGCCGTATTATTTCCTTCAATGCACACTTATCTATAAAGAGGAGAGAGAGGCAGCAACAGCTTCTGGATGCCATTCTAGATGTGGACAGGCAACAGGCCACCTCACCGAGCCCTGATCCTGCAATCAAACGCATACAGCTACAAGTTGAGTTTGATTTGTTAACAACAGGTAAAGTAGAGTATCAGTTACAACGGACCAGAGCCACATATTATGAACACGGAGACAGATCGAGTCGTCTTTTAGCTTCCAAGTTAAAGCATCAAACATCTTCGCATTTGATAGCACAAACATATGATTCATCCCATAATATAACTACTGATCCTGATCAAATCAATTCAGCGTTTTCTTCTTACTACTCAGATCTATACAAATCACAACCTCCCTCCGACTTCTCAACCATGGACTCCTTTCTCAATAATCTGGAAATACCAACAATAACAGAATCCATAGCTCAACGCTTAGATAT